GACATGGAAAGAGGTCCAAGTTTAAAATTATTCACAGTTGTGGGTCCAGAGTAGAGTTTAAAAAAAAAAAAAAAAAAAAGAGGTAGAGAAGGGAAATAGCAAAAGGCCTTTTGGACATCCCTTAGAAAACTGTCAAAGGGGTAAAAGGATCTTCTAAAGCACAACTAAACCAGGAGAATTGAAAGGAGATGAAATCATGAATGTTAGGAAGATTACGTTTTCAAGAAGAACACAATGGTAAAATACATTGAAGGCAAGTGAAATGTCAAGGAAAATGTCAAAGATGAGATATAAACCTGAGTTTTGTCTAGGAAAAGCTTATTAAAAACTGGTGAGTGGAACTTCTGTTGAGTGGCTAGAATCCAGAGTGAAAAGGAACTAGGGTTGGATAGGAGAGAGGATTGCTAGACTGTCATAGTAAACAGCTGTAAATTAACTTGATGAAAAGGTAAGAGAAGCAAGTTGTTTGAGGAATGCTTCATTTCTTACAAGATGGATGAATTGAGCTGCAGCTGAATAAGGCTGCAGTTTGAATGAAGACACAAGCAAGAATATGCATCTAAGGGATCAGATGAGTCTTCAACATGAAGTTGAAGTCAGTGGACATAGGTGTGAAAATTTGTATAAGGAACAGAATGAATCACGAACTAACTAAATTCAGCAATGAAGTCTTACAGAGATTAGTTAGACAGTTAACAACAAAAAATGGTGGCAGACCAAGGGGGAGGGGAGGAAAGGATGCAGTACTATTAAAAAAGGAAGTACATTAGGAAGCAAGTGGAAGGAGGAGTTAACTTGGCAGAAATAGGAAGCTAGAAAAATTATATTCCCACCACAGTCTGATCTGAGGAGGCCAGTCCTTAAGAAAATATTGGATGAAGAGGTCTGAGCTTCTTTGAGAGTGGGAGCTGAGGAAAGTGATACATGAAGAGAATATGAATGCTCATGATCTATTCAGTGATGAAACAGGCTTTCCAGAGACAGTAATAGAAGATGATTAAAAAGGATGGAATGAGTTTAATAATAGTGACTAAAAACAGGGAGAAAGCAAGTCATAAAGTCCAGGGAGAATCAAAGGTGAGGATAAAAAGAAGAAGCAGATTGAGGCACACAAAGGGGCAGAAAAAGGATAGAATGGATGTGAGAGCTGGACTTGTGCTGAGGGGAGAGTTGGAGGTGGGCAAATGAGAGGAGCTCTGAAAACTGTAGAAGGGATAACATAACAAATCTATCACATGAAATAAATGTCTGGATGGAAGATGCAGATGGCTCTCTGAGTCACTGGTGTTTCAATGTCAGAGAACACATGCAAGGACACATTGCCACACATATTTCCACCTTCTTTAAGATAGCACAATTAATGACCTCACATCAATTAATTTGTCAAATTTCACATGAACATTTATGCAATTTCTACTGGGTTTTTTGCATCCCAAATTTTAGTACTTTTCTCATTTAAAATATGAAATTCCTTTGTATGTGTGCACCAAATTTTGAAGCCACTGATCATGCTGAATACATCCATCTTGATGGGGAGATAGGTCCATTTTCATTATGAAACTTGGAATACAACTAATTTCAATTAATACACGTTATTTTGATTTTTCACACATAAATTCAGAATATAAACAAAATCTCTCAAATTCTTACAGTTTCACCTTCGGCTGCAAGTATTAACTTGGTCATATACTGATTTAAGATATTAAAGAATCTGTGGTATCTTTTGCAAGAATTGACCAAACTACTTTACAGGCTTTGGTTTATATGATGAGTAGACAGCAAAGGTCTTTAAGAGGTAATAATACTATGGTACCTGGTGTGGGGAAGAGAATCTCTTTTCATATGTCAGTCTATTCCCCTCAATGGAAAATCGGAAACCTTTCTTTTTGATGCTGTCCTCTGATTCGGATTTGTGAAATTCTTCTCCAGCCTTCTCCTCGCCTTCAGATTGTTCTTTTTGCTTTTTTTTCTTTCTTCTATTCCTCCTCTCTTTAGCACTCTTTGAGCTTAGTTTTGATGCCTCAGAAGAAGTTTCAGAGAATCCACCTATTCCACCTACTCCACTATAATCTCTTGAGTCAGCTGCTGCAGCTGCTGCTGCCGCCTATACGTACAAGCACATATGAAATTTACAACATTTATACAAACACACGCCACTCATTATGTTAAATTTATTGCCATTCCTACAAAAAATAATGATTTTGAAATACAAGCAATGATCCCACTTCACTGAACCCAGCATATCATAAGAAGTATGATTTGTGAAATACTACAGGAACCATAATTTGCCACTGCTCCATAAACCAGGAGTTAGAGCAGTCCAAGGAAAATCTGCTGTCAGAGAACCAAGTTAATGAGCATCTGTTTTACATTGGAACAATATGTTGCAACTACAATAGTTTTGCTTCTGTTACTTAAGTAAGCAGAATTCCTGTTTGGTTTTTTTCCCCCCACATCTCCATCTCCATTTCACAGAATCACAGAATGGTTGAGGTTGGAAAGGAACCTCTGGAGGTCATCATATCCTGCTCCCCAGCACAGACAGGGTCACTTAAAGCAGGTTGCCCAGGACTGTGTCCAGACGGCTTTTGATTATCTCCAAGGATGGTGATTCCACAAGTACTCTGGGCAACTTGTTCAAGTGCTCAGTAAAAAAGTTAATTTCCATTTCCAATTTGAAAATCCAGTAGTTTGGCTTATTGGTTATCACTTGTGTCACAAATTAACAGGTTTACTCAAGCCAGCAGAAACAGTGCAATGGAAAACATTCAAGATTGTTTGCACAACAAAGGAATTTATAAGACTGAAGGTAATATATCGTTAGGAGTAGGGGAGTAAAAGTTTTCTAATATGTGGACATAAAGCATCCGATCATAGTCATGAATGGAAGAAGGAATTTTACTTTACAGGGATACCTGAGCTTCTTCCTGTTGCTTTTTCAGTTGTTCAAGCATTTGCTGAAATTCTGCTTCTTTCTGTTCTGCTTCTTCCATGGTTGCTTGATTCTGTTCTTCATAGGCCATGGCAACCACAGCCAGGATCAAGTTAATCAGGTAGAAAGAACCCAGGAAAATGACCAAAACAAAAAATATCATATATGTTTTCCCAGCAGCACGCAGTGTCTGGAGAAAAAGAGATAATACACATTTTTAGTAGACTTTTAAATACTGTTGCATAATATGGTAGCATCTGTGTTATAATCTAGAAATACATTATAAGATTGCTTTGTGTTAGCACAAGATTATTTAATTACTTTTTCCATATACAAATAGTATTATATCCTGTGTACATGTGAAAAAAATCCAAGTTTTGTGTTTACTATGGTCACGGTAAATAAGATTCTGAAGTTTGAATAATTCAGAACTTCTACCAATAAGAATCTGTAGTAGCAGTTGCTGCCCCCACTATACGTCTATTTTATAGCCTTTAAATCTAACAGTAGTGGGGCCACTAACCAGCATCTTACCTTTTTGTCTCATCAGTCCCAAACTACAATGCCACAAAGACAGTGCAGTATATAAAATGTCACACTGCACCACACCCTTGTCCTTCAGGTTAAGCATATGTGTAGTTCAGGGACAAGAAATAACCTTTTCAAAGACAACATATTTGTACTAGACTGCAAACCAGTTTAACTAGCATCTATTTAATGCATGTTTGGGTAAGAAGCTTTAACAACAACTTTACTCATTTGTGAAAAGAAACAATAATGCTTAACCACCTTCATAAAACAGCAGCTATTTCTCATTACGTATTTGAGTAGCGCATGGGAACCTAAATCATGAACAAGGGCCCTATTGTTTTAGACAGCTTACATATATGAAATAAAAGATGATTTCTGTCCCAAAGGCCTTAGGGACACGTGAATGAAAATAACTATGCAAGACTATGTAGTAATGGTATTGGTGATGGTGCTGTTTATTTTAATAAGTCCTCACCAGCTGGTAAAGATTCTCCCAAAAGTCCTGAGTCATCAATCGAAACAGTGACAAGAATGCCCAACTGAATGTATCAAAACTTGTGTAGCCATAGTTGGGGTTTCTACCAGCTTTCACACATATATATCCTTCTGGACATTGACTACAAAAGAAGAGGAAATGCTATTTTTAACAACTACTCTAAATTACGATATGCTATAGTAAATCACAAAATCATTCAGGAGTACCAGTTGCTAATGAAATTATGAACAAGTAAAATGTTATTCTACACACTAAGATAAAAATATATATCTTATTTGTTTTCAACTTTTAATTCCATTTCCTAATAATATTTCAATGCTTTAATAATATAACTGATACTAATCTACCCTTCCCCACAATTTGCCATATCAACACACCTCCACCAGGACAAGAGAAGAATGTCAATTAGTATGGGTGATGATAAACAGTTGTCAGCAGGCTGGCAGCAACACTTATGCACATAACATTCATGTAGTTACCTTTACAAAATTAGTCTAAGATGCTGACGAAAGTGCCTGTGTAAACTCAAATCACATAGATGGTTATAATTAGGTATAGCTTCAATTGCAAAACATCGGTAATTTCCAGCTCTATAGTATAGTTGATACTAGAGTTGACCACCTGAGCTATTCTAAGTAGCTAATTATTTTTTCTTGATGCATAATGAAAGATTATGAGTTTTCTTACCCTGCATCTGAGCTATTGCCACACAGCAGAGCATCATTTTGTCCTTCCAAGAAGTAGAAATGATCTGTTTTTAAAAAAATAAATTAAAAAGGTGATGAGAAAGACATCATTTATTCCTAATGGAAATCGAGCAATGATATAGACTTTTACACTCTAAAGAAATACGCAGAGCTAACAAACAGTTTAACTGAAATATATAATGATTAGGAATGAAAAAAACATGGAAAATTCTATTTTGACTGAAAATTACTTCCTCTAGACTCTTGAAGTTGGCCTTTCTTTAGAAAATAGAAAGGTAGTTGTACAGCTAATTCTCAGTAATCTACTCAAATGAGTAAGATACAATGCGTGGAATATTGAATTGTGTATGTCAGCAAATGAGTGAACAAACAGCACGAAAACGAGACAAAGGATGAGGGCGATTCCCTGCCTTTGTTCATCCATTTTGATATATATCATTTAGTGTTATTCATTTATAATTATTCATTACATACTACTTTATCCAAATATTACTTGAAAAAGTACTAAAATTTTTGCAGCATGAAAACATAACACTACACGCACAAGAAATTGCTAACTGGATCTTGACTTGAGCAGCTGAGGGAGAAACCAAGCTGTTATTGTATTCTACAAAAAATTACTACACAAAATTCTGTAGCAGAGGAATGTACTTGAAGTATCATCTGTATGTATTTTGTTAATATGCTGGCTATTAAAATGAGGTAAAATATAATTGAAAGAGATGGAAGTCTTCAAAGCCCCCAGCACATCCTTTTCTTTTCTCTGTTCTGCTTTGAGGCAAAAAGAGAAAACCAATTTGCCATCAATTCCTAGACTGGGATTTTACGGTAAAATGGGAATCTCTAGCGGAGATTTTTGGGTCAGGTGGCATATTAAACTAAAGTTGCCAAAATTAGGTATGTTCTGGCTGTTCCCAGGAAGCAGATGGTTCCTTGAGATTCACTGCCAGCTGGCAGGGACGAGCTTAGCTGGCGTGAACTAACTGAGGGCTAATGCTAAAGAGACAAGCAGGGAAATGCAACCAGTTCCTAGTGATTGCTTCTACTCTGTCACCACTGGTATATGATAGAGACAGCATAAAATCTGCTTATTTTAGAGAGAGAGATATATTATGTGCATAACTTATGCATCTGCAATCTATTCTCAGATATCAGATAAGAAAACAGTGGATTTTCAGACAGTCCGATGCTCACATAGTCATGCCCTGTGAGAGATCTAACAACTATTTTAAAAGGTTAAAAAGTTTAAAGATGCAGGTAGGTTCCAAGCTGGATTTTCAAAGTTGTCTGTGGGCCTAATTCACATTCTTGTGTGGCACAGCTCCTCCTCTGGTAAGCAGAGGATCCAGTTAAACCACCCAGTCTGCTCAACTCTCAGCCCACTATTTTGAAAGACATTTAAATCATAAATTTTTTAATACAAAGATGATAGTGATAAAGTAAAAAAAACAGTCAATATGAGTTTATAAAAAAGTATGTCATACATAAAACTGTTCCTGTCTCCTGCCAACTTAATAACAGGACAAGTCATGGGTACAAGTCCCATGTGACAATTTCATAAGCAAATAAATGAGATATTTTCTGGCTGGAATCATCACAAAATACTTGAAAAAAGATTCTCAGAGAGTAGCTGCCAGTGGCCCAATGTCAATTCATAAGGGCATCTTTCTGAAGATCCTGCAGGGATCTGTGCTATACATGTTTTTTGTAACAAGTTTCATTACCAACACAAGACATGAAAGAATAGAAAAAATGCATCAAGTATTCTGAAGACATCAAGCTAGGAGAGAAGACGATTGAAATTTAGAATGACCTTTACAAACTGACAAGCTGGTCCAAAAGCAATTTGATTTATTTCAACAGAGACAAGTGGAAAATGCAGCAGTTGACAAGGCAAAATCAAATATGTAAATGCAAAGTAGACAGCCACCGCTGTACAAAAAAGATGCAGTGACTGTCATGAACTGCAAGTTGACTGTGAATCAACAGTATGGTGCTGATATAAAAATGATGTAATTTTGAGATGTGTTAATAGGAATGTTACATATAGGGCAAATGAGGTAATTACTTCTAATTTGTACCTTTATTAGAGGAGTAAGTACCAGATTTGAGCATGTCATTAAAAAAATAACAACCAACCAAACAAACAAACAAAAAAAGCCCCCAAAACCCTCAAAAAACCCAAAATCATAATAAAACCAAACAAATAAAATTGAAAACCCCAAATCCCAGACTAACTGGAAAGAGTTCAAAAAAAGAAAAAAAAAAGTGAAAATAGGTATAGAAAATGCAAAACAGAAAATAGGATTGCTTGGTTCAGAAAAGACTAGAAGTAAAGAAGATAACAGTTTTAAAATATCATACAGACTAATACAAAGTAGTCTATGATTATCTTATTCCTAAATCCACAGCAGAAGCAGTAATATATTCAATCTGAAATTAGGAAAATTTAGATCAGATATTTAGAAAAAGCTTTCTATTTGTGTGATGTAGTACCAGAAGCAACTAAGGGCAATGGAATGGAATCTGTTCTTCAGATGTTTTTAAGAAAAAGTTATCATACAAAATCTCCAAGATGACATTTCTATGATACTACAAGCATGCCGAGACGATAAGTATATTAAAAGATTATAAGGCAATGAGACTTGGATTCAAAAGCATTTAGCTGTTAAACTGAGGTTTCCTAACTTTCAGTGACAGAGGCATCAGTCACAGCATTTATACAAACTTTATAATAAAATTAAATTATGCCTAATTACAAAGTTAAAACCCTAAATACACTAAAATAAATAGGAGAGACTGAAGTTATTTACCCGTATGAAAGACAGAGTAGCAATCTACTATAGATATGTCCAGAGTTATTCTATCTGAATTTTAAAACAATTTTTGTTAACACAGTAGTGACATTAACTATCTAAACCAGTGAAAATACTGTATTATGAGGTACAAAGCAGATCAAAATGCTAATTTCTTGATTTTCCACAGATAAGAAACAAATTAAAAGATACATTCCAAATATGGAATGTCGTTCTTATTTTGGTAGAATAGGAAGCATGGGATAAATCACCAGTACTTTCATGAAGGCAGGTCTGTGCTGTGCAAGGGAGTGTGGTACAGAGACACTCACCAAGTTCCAGAAGAAACAACGCAGCTGCATTTACATGTTATGGCAGCATTCATGAGTTAACCGACGTTCAAATGTGGATTTATGATATTGCGCATTATCTTGCACTAACGTAGCTATACAATTTCAGATCCCATAGTAAGACTGTGACACTATTTCAGGAGGCTTGAAGCTAGCATGGAAATTTCTGCTTTGTGCTGCAATGAGGATTTAGTCTAACAAGTCATATTCAGTAAAAGGTAAAAAGGTATTTTGGTACCCAGTACACTATTATGAGAACGTTAAACTATATTATGACTGTTCTTTTATTTACTACACAAAACGAATGCTTCTATGTCTTTTGGCCAGATTACACCATTTAAATGCAATGGAAAGATACTGATGCTTTTGTATCTGTTTAAAAAAAAATCATGCTTTTGTATCTGTTAAAAAAAATCCAGAAAATCAATGCAGTAGATGATATAATTAACTCTTACTTCTGTCTTCGATGTACTCATCCCAGTTAAATGTTGTCATTGTTGCATTAATAAATGTACCATTTTCACCTATAGAGCTATTAAAGTAGGAAATAACAGTTGTTTCAAAAGTCGAATTGTCTGGAGGCCACTGCAGACATTTATTCCTCAAGTTGCCCATGAACAGCTGCAGCCCTATTAGTGCAAATACACTCAGACAAAACACAGTCAGGATCATAACATCAGAGAGCTTCTTCACAGACTGAATTAGGGCTCCCACGATAGTCTTCAAGCCTGCAAAGAGAAAAGATTTTTATTATGATGTTAAACAGATACTAAACACACAAAAATATCATGTGATTTTTCCTGACAAGATAAAGATTTCATGCAAAATCACAACTGAGTCTAATTTTGTGATACAGTAATTTTCATGAAAAGCCTTATTACTTGTGAAGATGAATGAAAAGCCATAAGTTTATGCTTATTTTATAGTGTAGAGAAATAAAAAATAGATAATACCAAACACATTGTTTATGCCAAAACAAGTGATTTTATTATTCATGCTATATCTTAACCCTACATAGAAAAGCATTGTTTGCTTTTGCTGATGCTTCTTGCCCAAACCTTTCTTGTATGAACCTTTTTAAGATTCTGCATTAGCAAACCCATTATAAAGACATTATAAGTGCATATTTGAATGACATCATAATAATCTTCTTAAAATATAAGAGGGGTGATGGTTTGGAGAAGAAAGACATCTTTAAAACAATATCCCATGCATGGCCCATGCTATCCTTTAGAGTTTATTTTTTTTATACATGACTTAAAACTGAATTAAGTTGCTATATCAAGTGCCTGCAATAAATGACAAAATTTGCATCAGTATGAAAGCTTGAGGTTAACTTATATTTAAAACATGTAAAGGAAAGCTTGATGTCATAAGATGCAAATCACATAGGCTGTTTACTGCAAATATCTCATGCAAGAATTTGTTAAACTCAAAGGCTGATTTTTTTGAAAAGAAAATACAACTAGTATAAGAAAAGCAAGAATCGATTTAAATAAAATTACATGTTTTGATTCCTGCTTTTTTATTTTGTTAACAATGTGTGGCAAACAAGGCTTATGCTTTAAAAACGTGAGTGCAGCCTTTGTAGAACAAAAGTCAGCCTCAGTGTTTAACCTAGCTCTCACCTGGAATGACTGATATTGTTTTCAAAGCTCGGAGAACTCTGAATGTTCTCAACGCTGAGACATTGCCCAGGTCCACAAACTCTGTCACATATCTGTAATAGGGGAGTTCACACACAAACACAATGACAGCACACAAATAACAGTTGGAGATACGAGGGGCCTAACACCTTACACCAACTACTTCTTACCTGGAATTACAGAAATAGTTTTCAAAGCTCTCAATACTCTGAAAGTTCGAAGAGCTGAAACATTGCCTAGGTTTACAAATTCTGTTACATACCTGTAGGATTAAATCACAGTTACTCAGAATTGAGGCAGATTTTATCCTATTTGTTTGGGTCTTTCATCAAGACCTCTTCACCGTTCACTGTGTTTTGCCTGTGTTATAAATATGCTTCTGATCACAAAATTAAAGTAAGTCTTATCAAAATAAACCACATTGACTTGATGTTTGAAACATAATTTGGTCAGCTTATAGCAGGAAGTCAAAAGGATTCCTTTAATGCTGGTACGCAGAAAGGAGAGAGGATATGAACAGTTTAGGCTGATGGCATTCACAATCCTAACGGGCTGGCACACCATGCTGGCCTCTGCAGCACATGCTTAGTTAGAAATACTAAAATGTGTAAAAGAGGTAGAAGAAACATATTGAAACAGCAGGAAGTCCAGGCTCCAAATGTTCTGGCTGACAAAATATGAGGCAATTTTTAGTCACTAACTTCATGCTATCAGAAAGAATTTTTGTTAAAAAAAAAAGTAGAAGACTTACGCAAATGTAATGACAGTGAAATCTAGCCAATTCCATGGGTCTCGAAGAAATGTAAAATCTTCTAAGCAGAAGCCCCTTGCAAGAATTTTAATAAGTGATTCAAAGGTATAAATTCCAGTGAATGTGTATCTGAGGAAAATACGCAACACAGTTTATAGAAACACGTTATCATTATCCATTATGCTCTCTAGTTGCTTTATTCTCATTTTCTCCTCTTTAAGTGGCATAAGAATTTAATGGAAGCTACAACCAACTTCAAACATCTGCAGAATTTATACCATAAGGAAGGAGGAATCAAATTATGATTAAAGACTAAATGACAACCCATAGCTTAAGTCCAAATTGTATAATCTATACCAATGAGACAGTTGCAAATTTCACAGTTACTTCACTGGTGCATGTTTATGTCCAATCTGAATCCATATTATAACAAAACACAAAGATAGATTATGTTAGGATTGCAGAAGTTGCTTCCAGACTAAAAATTTATTTCTTCAATGTTATTTTTATGCTGAAATGTCACTTAGTACCACGAGCTGGCAATGTGCCAACCTTCATCAGTCCTCATTGACTTTGTCAAAAAGTAGGTGTATCCAGTACTTCACCTTCAGCAAGACAGGCATAGTACTGGGATGAAATGAGTGTTTTCAGTTGCAAAATCCTGTGCAAGAACAACCACAAATATTTACAAATTCCAATAAAATTCAGCTACTCATTTTGACTAGAAAATGTGGTTGAAATGTAAAAAGTTAAAATATTTAATTCTGCCATTCTGAGTCATTTCAATTTTCTATCTCCAAATGATGTCATCTTGAAATTTAGTTTCATTTATATCTTTAATGGAAAAGAATTCAAACTAAACTGCTTAAAAGGCTTGAACTGGTTTTCAGATTTAAGCCAACCTGATACCAATTTTCCAATATGATTTTTTTCAGTTCAATTACTAAAAAATTTCTTTCTTGCACAACTTTACTCAAGAGATAAGAAGAACTTCTGCTGTATATCTAAATGGCACAGTAGAATGACATGGAGAAATATTCAAGCCAGCTATCTTTATTCATAAATATTTATTGTATGCTAGACATCCTGAATACATGTATGTTCATATTGAACTCAAAATGAGAATGCCTCCACTGACTTTAACAGCCCTGTGATTTCACTCGTGATTACTGAAGATTAAACAGATATGTATCATCCAAAGCAGTTAGGAATGAAGAAGCAGAAGCATAAAATGCTACTGCAAAAATGAAGCACCATGAAGAGCAGTGTTTCACACTATGGCCTTGGAACAAAAAGAATACAAAACATGCACCAATTGTATATCGGCAGCAAGTAGTTGACATCAGTTTGGACCTCTTCTCTTCCTATGGGAAGATTAGCCAATCATTTAAACACTTTTTAAATAGCTTATTTTTCATACAAGCTTTTCATTGTTAGAGTGTCTTTGATAAAGGAAAGCTGCACTACGGTGAACGCTGCCGTCCATTAGATGGTCCCTTTATCTGTAACGGTTATTGCAACAGAGATGGAAGAGTGTATTTCCCCGCATTCTTGCACAGACATAACATAGAATGCAGTGGAAAATATTTATAATCCACTTTTTTGCATGGTCAAAAGACTAGCTTCTCTTCTTACATTCCTCATCTAGTACTGGAAACAGAGGATGGACATTGAACAACGTGTAATGAGGCAAGTGTTGTAAAATATATGTATTTAGTATCATATAGAAAAAACTAGCATCAGAATAGCTGTTGAAAGGATATGCCAACAAGGTAGCTGCTGCCAGTGGATACCATCCTAATATAAAATAATTTACAGCAGTTTATTTCAGATTACTGAATATTATTCAAAGAAAATCCATTTAACTTACTCTACATTCTTTGTCCAGTCTGGAGGGTTACTCATGGTCATAAATACACAGTTGGTCAAAATAGTGCACATGATAAGCATGCTGAATAATGTAGGTTAAGAGTTAAGGAATGTAAGCCAGAAAATCTCATTAAAAGAGTATCAAATAACATGCTGCTTTGGCAGATTTCCACTATCAGGAGCTATTTATCCCTCTACTGCTCTGTTAACACTCAGGGAATAGCCCTGAATATGTTAAAGCTTCCACAGTCACTACTTTATAGCTAAAAGAAAACAATCACATATTAAAAATTAGAAAATCTGAAAGATGTGAACACCCAACTCTTAATTTTAAGAAGAACTTAGATGATGTTTTCTTTTGAATTAAAATGTGAAAGTTTGAAGTAGCAGCTTCTAATTTAGAGGAATAGCACAAGAAGCATTTGTTTTGGATGACCTAGACAAATCTGATCTCCTTCATGCATGCAAAAAAGTGAAAAATACATATTCACTCCTACTACTTTAAGTAGGAAGGAGCATAGGGAAATTTTAGGAAGAAAGTATTTTATTACTGTTTGCTTTATATATGGCTTTTGTAATATAAATGTTGGTGGAGAGGAGGCACGTGATACTCTTCCAAAAAGAAATCTAAATAGAATTCCAGAACAGGTCCAACTCATAAATAATTTCATTGGTTTTTAACAGAACTGCTCTGGATCTACAGCCTTTCACTCTCAGGACTGATGACATTCTTCTTAAAAACGAAAATACAACCAAAATGAAAACAACACAGAAGATGCACAAAATGTCCACATGATGGCACCATCACCTAAAACTAGAAAGAGGACAAAGCTCGATTTTGAGAAGAGGTTTTAGCTTCTGTAACTAAAATGCAGGTTCACATGGTGCTCCCAAATAGAAACCCGAGAATAATGGGGTGGGAAGTATTGTGAGGTTCCCCTCGCGAAGTTTTCTTTGCATGTACATTAAGAGAAAAAAAAAACTTCAAGTGACAGTAAACATCTCTGCCTTCTGAGATGACAGTAAACACCTTTGCCTTCGAACAACTGTGGAACTACATTCAACAGTTCTTCAGGTTTTCTGCTCAGTAAATATATTTCAAATCCTTTACTCAGAATCTAGCTTCTCACTATGTAATTCATATATGAACAAAGCAGAAGAGAAAGAAATGTATTTAAAAAAAAAAAAACACATAAAAATAACATGTTGTAAAAGCATTTCACAAGCCTGTATTTTACATAGGCTTTCAAAATCCTTTTTGATGAAATATCCTTTCAGAGTTGCAAATCCTCACTATTCTTTCACCAGTGGAGAAATAACTAGAATATACCTTCCCATAACTTTAAACAACATTTCTTAACAGTCTGACTTTGGTGACTCTAGCTCTTCATCACCGTCTCAGTCCCATGATCTTCCATTATTCCATGTAATTGAATAACACTCTATAACATGCTAAGGAGTGTCGTATAACTGACAAATAATTATTTGTAGTGACACCTGTAGCAAGTGCACACAAAACAGCCTATGTAGTGTCATAGCTGATCATGAAGTCATTTCTAGGCTAGCCATTGATAACAACATCCAACACAACAACCATTGTAACTATCAGACTTCCATTATACCAAGATTGAAAAAAATCCTTTCAAGATTTATTCTGCATGATCTTAGGATCCCTGTATGTAATACTACACACAAAACTACTTTCAGTGTGCTTATATCAGACTCGTAAAATGTAACTGTACAAACATTTTTATTTGTTCCTTAAGTAAGCAGACTTGCTGAAGTCAATGCCCTTACTGTTCATACCAGCATTTGGGATCAGACTAGTAGGATGCCTACTACAGTCAGCTATCAAAACACCGAAAAAGACAAAATAATAGATAAGTCATTATGATAATTTAGCTTTGCACATCTCTAGCTGCAATGTGGAAATCTCACAACCTACTTGAAGAATAAAAATAAAATATCTACAGGATTACGAGTGCATAATGCAATAATGATCAAGAAATAAAATTGACAGGTAAGATACATACAGGACTGAAAATGTATAATAAAACAAGAAACCTAAGCTGTTTTATCAACCTATCCTTTTGCAATTGTGATCTGAATTGGAAAATGAAAAGGAATAATGAAACCATATTTTCACTAAATATTCATGCAAGCGCAAACCTGGGATCAAAGATTTGATTTTTAACACAAAGTGTCAGTGAATAACTGAAAGTATTTTGAGCAATATATCTGCAGTTTATGAAAAATGTGGAGGAGGGGAAAAGACGAAAAAAGATGTGATGATTACAAGAAAAATAAGAGTGAAGGGGGAAAAAAAGGTGGGAGATGAAAAAAGACACAGGAAGAAATTGTAAAGCACGACTGGTTGTCTGGCTTCTGATATTACTATATTAAGATCTAGCAATGAACACAAATGTAAAAAGGGAATAAGAAAAAGAACAGAAGACAGAAATAGTATAGAGAAGAGGGACAGAGCACTATAGATCATATTGATCCTGGGACGTGTCAGAGAATGATTTAAATACTAAATAACATCTTATTCACTACGGTTTTAAACTAACCACTTGAAAAGGATATGAATGTACCAAAATCTTAATAGCTATTTTTCTAAGAGGATTGAAAGGAGTTAACATGTACAGGGCAGAAGTGGCACTGAATCGGAATATTGCCTTCCCTTTATTCAATACTATAAAGGTCTGGAAAAAGAAACACAGAATGAAAAATAGCATTTAAAAGACACCAAGTTACAAACAATTACAAGTTCAAACCCAGAATCACTTTCATTTCATCATTAATCATATTTGGTCAAACTCTTCTTCCATTTACCCCTCCCCCAGAATCACAGTCCCCTTGTCCAGTTCACACATATTAGAGCCCAGCCAAATTACTATAAATGTAATTGCATTAAAACATTTGAATAAGTTTATTTAGAAATCATAAGTAACCCTGATATTGCTAGCTAGGAAAAAAAGGTATATAAGGTGTAAATGTACATAATATTTGAAGAACTGGTATACTTTTTGTAAAGAGCCATTAAAATTTCAACATTCCCTGAACGAAATAACCAGCGTTAATTATCACATCAAAGTACTAAGACAATAGTACCACAAAGTGATCTAAATTTCAAGAGTGGTCTTCGTGAAAATATGGTAATTGAATGTTCAGTAACCAGTTTTTTAACATAACACTAATGTACTGAATAGTTTTTGCTATACTCCAAGAAAATAATGTATCGCTTCTCTTTTCAATTTCCCTGCATTTGGGGAAATTCCTGTCTATTTCTGTCATCTCTTCTTTCTGCACACAGGTGAAAGTTCATGCTCATTGAAGGTAACTGGATCTAGCTAGCATTGTGGCAGCCCGAAAAAGCCCAAAGGGAACATAAGCCATGCAAACCTGGAGCATAGCCAGTAGCCACGATCTGCCTCAGCTGGAATCAGAGGGCAGCATTTGTAAAGGCTATGCTCTACTTTCTGAGCAGGTGTGCCAAATACAGCAGCAGAAATCCTGAAAATACAATGCCTCCCCTGCCTGAAATCATAAATTTCAGTATTTCCAAACTGAATATATTTGCATTCCCAGATACCCATTGATTCTCAAGCCACACTTCGTTCCTTTATTGTAGAGGAGAAAGGATTGGTCTGTAATGTAGTCTGCTACCATTGCTTTTCAACTCAATTACTAGTCTTCCTGAAGTTCAAGAAAATATGCCCTCAAATCAGAGTTTTTCATGTTTTCTGTTCCCTTTACTCTGACAAAACCTCTTATGAAGCATAGGTGATGCTGACTCATCAAGACATACTAAGAAATTAAAATAGAGCCTGACCTAAACAAGGATGTTCAAAGATATGCAAAGAACACCAAGAAAAATAATAGGAGAAATTATCATTGCAATGAATGTATAGTTTTGAGTCTTAGATCTCCTACTAGAAATGACTACGCTTTTGGAAAAGATCAAGATAACTGCTATGCATGTCTCAATCAAGAACAAGCAATACAGCAGGATTTTACTACACGTCCACACTTAATTACAGAATTACTTTTCTAGTTTACAAAGCATGATAATATGAGTGCTAACTTTAGGATTTCCAGCACTGAATTTATATTTTTACTATTGCAGAACTGGAAAAGAAGGAAGGAAAAGGATCAAAGACTTTGACCCAAATTCCATTTGCCTTACTTCCAGACTTCAACAGCGTAAATCACTTGAGTAAAGGGAGCAGAACACAGTATTTAATTGAAAACCATGTTTTCAAATTTAACTCACTATTCTCCATAGCATGAATTGAGTTTTAGAAATTCTGCAGCGAACATTTAAGGTATAGCTGATTTTTTTTAAAGCTGTTCTGTCTGTTTAGTTTATCATGGTATGCCTATATTGTTATTGTTTCACCATATTAGTAATGAGGCATGCCCTTAATTCCTGCAGGAAGTATCTTCATTTGTATCTTTTTTACTTAGTTCAAGTTTGACTCCTAAAAATTCTTGGGGGTTTTCTTCCTTTTTCTTTGGAAAAGTTTTTTTGTGCTCATGTTTGCTTTTTTTTTTAATTCACTTGTTTTTATTCACTAGCTAATTTCCACAGGAAAGAAAAAAAAAAAGCACAGGAAAAAAATTGTGAAGACAGAACAATAAAAAAAAAAATCAGTAATTTCTTCTTTACTGGTAGAATAATGACGGTGCAACACATATGATGCCAATATCTGAGGGACTGGAATTCTGGAGCAAACCCAAGGCCATCTGGTCAAAAGTCTAAAGGTCAGCACTTTTGTGCTTGGCCACAACAGTTGCTGTTGTTACTTTAAATAAAAAGAAATTATGTGGGTTTATTTTTTAAAAAATGAACATCTCTATAAAATATTTTTAAAATTACATAACATTCTGTCAGCACTCCAAAAGGAATGCCTACCATCTCTTTATTTACATCCCTCGTTTAAACACCTCCTCTTTGGTAACAATCATAGAACAATATAAATCTGGATATGAAAAATTTTCACCCAAAGTCGGATACATGATGCCTCTATAGAGCACAAAATAGAAAAGGAGGACTTCAGCATATCCTGAGGAATTACCTTTACGTACTTCTCTATCCTTCCTAGCAACAGGAGAATGCAATGTAGGCTTTCCAAGTGACAGTGAAGAAAGCCAGCGAGAAGGTGTCTAGCTACCTTTGAGATCAGTTTCACAGTGAAGACCTGCTCCTTTCACATCTATAACACAGCAATTAGTACAATAATAATTCTAAAGATAACCCCTGTGCTACTTCTTCAATTCTCCTGTGTGTAAAACACTGAAAGTTACAAATTTTAAATTAAAATGCCAGGTATATTAAAATAAAACTAAAGGCATCTCTACTGACAAACCAGGCCCTAAAACTTTCATTAGTAACTTCTGTTCTTACAATGGAGATTTCTGCCAATGAAATCAGCTGCTGGGGGAATGTATTATATGTAAAGACCAGGTCCAAAATACTGGAAATACTATATCTGCGGTATTTTAAGAAGATTTTAATCTTCTTAAAGCCTGATAGCAATATACAACACACTCACTTTTTTATTGATATAATATGGGTCCAGGTCTTCCAAGGGCTCAGACACCATTCCTGGAGGTATGTCGCCGTAAATAAATGGCAGCGTCTTTCCTGCCTCCAAGTCGCTATTTGGCTTTGGGCCATCTTCATCATCATCATCTTTGCGTTCTTGTTTGGATTTTTTAGCTTTTTCTTCATTGACACGCTGCTCAATAGCTGCAAGTGATTCTCTTGTGAAATAGCGGAAGCTGTCAGGTCCTGGTGGTACCAGCACTGATTGTGCCATCTTTTCATCCTGCACCTCTTAATTACTGTTTAGCCTCTCTCATAAAAAAGTGCTAAAAATACAAAAAAACACAGAAATATTTAGAGCAACACAAATAGCTACAAACAATATACCTTCACAGAATTTTCTGTGGGACATCTTGTTAAATTCAGTCATTATCAGGCAAGAGGAGGCTGCTGTGAAATGGATTTTTTAATTTGTTTTTATTTCAAGACAAACCATTTTCCTTTGCAGCTGGTCTCTTAGAGTTGTCTTGAAGGTATCAATTCTTAAAACACTTAGTTTAAAATTCACTTAGTACTTGTGACGCTAGATTGCCAATTCTACAGACTGTATAAAAAAAAGTCAGATACATCTTCTTGCCTTTATCAAGGGTAATGCTATCCGTTCCAGTGAATAAAGCGGGAGATATTTTCCACCACATTCAATGTGAGGAAGCAACAGTTCTGAAGTGTTTATGATTTGGTGTTGAGGAGTGAGACTCCAGACAATTAATCTCCTTATTATCCTGAAAGCTGCACCTTGGACCAACCCTTCCTCTAGATATAAGGACCAGAAATGATTCCTAGAATCCACTACCACCATGCAAGACCAGAGGAATCAGTTGAAAGCAATGTGAGGTGGTCCTTCTCTTCGGGTACTAATATGCTGCCTTTGCAGAGCTGCCAGGTCAGGAAACAAGATCCAGGCATAAGCACCTGTATTCAGATCCCCTGCCTGGCAACACACTGTGCACTGAAAGAATTGCTGAATCTAACAAAAAATATCTTTAATCATTACATACTGCACTTAGATATTTTACATCTGATACCATATCAATTGTATATATTTTTTACAATTTTCACTAACAAGAGCAGAACCATCTCTTCTTAATGTCTCCAGACAGTTCAGTTAAAAAGAACAAGTGGAAAATATTCCCCACACAAATACTTTGATCTCAAATCATAAACAGGATCTCTGCCGTAGCCTTCAAGAATTTTTCTCGAGTCCTTCTCCTGAGTAAGCACACTAAAAATATAGCAAATGCAATAAAAAAGTAACAACTTCTGAGGAAGACAATATACCCAAGAAACAATTAGCAAATTAAAACAATACAACAGTTAGAATACAATCAGCATGATCCTATTTTACTATCTCACTAAATGCACGTACTCCAGCACAGATGCAATGAATTTGTATTTTTGAAGCCTGCTAAATAAACTGCAACACAATGCCTTCTCCTCCTTGTCAACTACATGCACATTGCCATTTCCACCTACACGGACATCCACACACATCCCAACTCCTGCAGGTCTCTCTATGAGCATGCTCTTCCATTGCAGGCAAATGCACCTGGTGCATTCCGTCATGGACGGTCTGGAGCAAACTGCTGCTGGAAGCTGCACTGACTAGTAGCAGCAGAAGGGTTAATTAGGAAAATGAAAGTGGTCCTGCAGCAGAATACCGTTAGATTGGGGGGGGGAAGCATAATCCTGTTTTAATACTGCAGGAAACAATTAAAAATTCATTACCAGTGAAGAATCTTGCACTTATGTGGGTTTGAAATGGCACCAAGGAAGACTGCAGCTAAAAT